GAAATATATGAGTTTGTATGTAATGTATGAATATAATATACAAGTTTCACTTTTTAAATGGAATTACTGAAATAAATCTACTTTTTCATGATATTCTAATTTTATGACCAGCACCTGTATAGCAAAATGTATCTGGCCCAGTTCTGGCCCACACTAAACACTCTTAACACTCAGCCCAGATACAGCAAAGAATGGCATCCCTTTGGTGGCTCAGATGTTGTTTGCCAGAGGTGGTCCATGCTTGAGCCACCCACACAACTGGGCCAGTTAATGTAATTTCAAAAAACAGAGCCATGACAGATCTGGCTCACGTCTGGTTTAAAAAACCACTTGCTATGCCAGCAGTCAGCCAGCAGTGCCCGCTTGACTCCAGCTCTGGCCCACACCTGTCTGTTATGTGGGTAGAAATCAGGAGCCAACAAGGCTGATCTACTTCAGGGGAAGAGAAGAGACCTTACACAGTTTTTTTTTTTTTTTTGTCATCTGAGGTCAAGAGGGAAATAGAAGCTGACTGTGATGCTTAACGAAAGCTCAAAATGGTGAAACGTCTGTTCAGCCGGACCTCAATAATCAGGACAGCTTTTATGATCAAACTAAATGTACCACAGATAAAGCACACACAACTTTGTAGAGAAAAATCCATGGCCCTGCTCCTCCACTCAGAGATGTGTTGGGATTAAAGGAACAAAACGAGTGATTAGTGGCTCCCAGCTAGCGATCAACCCAGCCTAATGATTGCATCAGAGGCATGCGGGTCCATCTGGGCTTCCATCTGCCTGAACCTTTGAGAGATCTTCCTCACTGGGTGTTTTGAAACTAAAGATCTTCCTACCAATGTTGTCCTACCTGGAGAAGGTTTACACCTTTTAATTGTCAGATTGATCACTTGTTCCTTCTGTCTCTTTAACAGGCTGGGTTTTGTTATATTTTGCAACAAGAACTTCTTGTTAATTAATGGGAAAATCTTAAGAATAGCCCCCATTTTTCCGCATTTTCCTGAATTCTAAACAGTGTCTACTTTCAGTCCACGGTCTTTATCAAACTGTAACTTTATATGTTTTGGATGAAAGCCCCATGCACACAGTTGTTTTGACTGGACTGACTCCGTGTGGAGAGAACATGTTTGACATTTATTTTCTCTGTGAAGCTCACGGCAGGCTCAGCAGAGCCTGGTGTGATTGTCAGCAGTGCAGCAACAGCAAGTTTCAAATCAGTCTTTTTGCAACCCCGAGGCTTTGGATAATCACAGCAGCAGTCTGCTTTGTGATTGCTTATTTATACCAATAGTTTCTCACTTGTTGCAGTATGAGGCGGCAAAATTTCTCTTCATCTTGTAAGGATACAAATAGAAAAACTGACTTGCAACACTTCAAGAATCTTTTTTCCACAATGGTTGGGTCTGAAATGCTCGTGTCTTTAAAGTAAGAAAAATTGTTCGCTCAAAAGCCAGATTTTAGCAAAGCAGATGGTGTGTGGGCTGGTCTTTGATCAGCAATCTCTGATTAAAGCCAGTTTGTTTTATTTATTTCAGTTGCTCTGGTCATAAATAGCTGACATCTGCCACTTCTTTTTATTTTTCACAGGTGTTTAACAATTATCCACTTTTTTCATTCTGATTGAGACGTTTTGTGGTGACTTGTGACTCAGTGTTTAATAGGAAAAAATGTTCGCAATTACAATTAATGCCAAATGAGATTAAATAAACTCAATTAAATAAATTAATGAACATAAAAGTTTTAATAAAACAGAGTTAGCGTCTGGAGGAAAGCACCAGAAGCAGTGTATTGGTAAAATACAGGGTTTGCTTTACTTTGGTTCAGGAGTAGCTACAGGTTAAAACATGGGGCAAATATTTTAACAGTAAACATGTCTGTTTTGTACAATTTCCCCAATGACCAAATGATTCCACAAAAAATTAACTTTAGAATAGTAGTTGCTTATTAGTGGTCTGTGTACCAGTATTGCTAACTTAGAGGAACTATTAGTTTTGTTTCACACCTACTCAGTGGCGGCTGGTGGAATTTTCTCCAGGTGGGGCTACAACTCCAAAATAGACGTATCCCAAAAAGCAATCAAACATACACTAAGTTATATCACGCTAATGTATTTATTAAACAAATGACAATAATAAAACAGCATTACGATGTCATGTAGTGTTTTATTTTTAGTACATACATTTTGCTCTTCTGTAACTGAGAAGCAAATTTCTTCATGACTGGTTAAAGTCAGGGATGTTTTAACCAGATTCTTATAGAGCATGGTCAGTGCAGTGAGATGTGATGTGTACCTGAGGAAAGTCTGGATTCTCTTCAGTGGTCAGCTCCTCTGACATTCAGCTGTGGTCAGAGGAGATGTGATGAGAATCTTCAGCAGAGTCACAGTCTCTGAAGATGCAGATTGTTCTCCATGAAGAGCTCCACAGCACCACTGCAGCTCCTGAATTCATAAAAGCCTGTTCAATGTTTAGCTTGGTCCTGTTCAGCACTGCAGCCTCCATGGTGGTGAACTGGAGACCTGCAGGAATGTCTGCCTGCAGCTCTGATCAGATGCTTGTGAATGGCTCAAGATGATGTCACAAACCTAAAAAAAATAAATGCACAAATTTAATTCAGTATGGAGATGGCTACAAGTAAACTTTCTAATATTCAATATATAGAAAACAACTGAAGTTATGAATACACATGTTAATTTATTAACATGCATTGCACCTCTAAGG